AGTGAGTAGATATTTACACTATTGTAAGATTTCCATTTTTTTTGGATAGGATTGCTATGTTTTTGAGGAAAAACTAACAAAGGAAAAGGTTTACTTTTCAGTGTCTTGATGGTAAATTTAATGGTGAAAAAAAGTGCTCAGATTCTTCCAAAGTTTGGATTTAACTGAGTTGAAGTTTTAACCATTTAAGATTCTTAAATAATGCTATTAAAATAGCAAGAATACGTATGTGCCAGTATAATTGTTATAATTGAAAACATAAAAGTCCTGATTGTAATATAATGTTCATTTTACTGTGCTTTGTGTAAAAACTAGCGACTGGGTGACTTGGTGTCTATTGTTTTAGGGCATGTACCTCTTCTTAGTGTTGCTCTAAGTTGGTGGTACTAGTTCAGTAACCACCCCTTAGTTGTACATAGGTGATTGAACAATCTGAGTCAGAATTGGAAGTTTGCCATAGAGACATCAAAACAAGGAAAATAGATTCTCCCTCCACAAAGCAAAATACACACCCAAAAGACCTGCCTCCCCCAATCAATTAAACAAGCTCTTGTATTTATTTGTAAGTAATGTGTGTACATTTGTAAGTGTGTGTTTTTTTTAATAGTTCTTAATCAGAACTGTTTTATTTTTACATTGGTGGCTATTCTGAGAGAAAGTATTTGAATTAAGTGAAAGCATATACATAATGAAAGGGCCTGGCAGGGTATTTAGTAAATGTTATTTGAGTCTGAAGCATAGTTATTAATTTGTTAAAACCCCATTTAAAGATAGGTCAATCCTGATAGAGGAAGGATCTTTGACAAAAGCTTTGAAAGATGAGAGATGAACAAGAGAATTATTTTATAAACTGAGCATATTAACATAGGCCCGTTTAATACAAAGGCTTGATGTCTTATTCACTTACAATCTCTAGGGCCATCTAGTTATACTGCTGTAGTTGATTTGCATGGTAGCTTGAGTCATTAAATAAAAGCACAATTTATTTCTTAGAAAAAGTACAAAACATTTTAGGGTTTTTTTTTTTTTTGCAGTTTTGGCTGGGGCCGGGTTTGAACCTGTCACCCCCGGTATATGGGGCTGGCGCCCTACTCCTTGAGCCACAGGCACAGCCTGGTTTTTAAAATTAGAAAATAACCAGGTTTTATTGCTTATTGGGCTAATCTGCTAAGAAATAAACAACTTGTTTTCTTATAAGACTGAATAAATTATTAAGTTGGTAATTGTAGAAAGTAAAAGTAGACATGTACTGCAGGTATCCAACATTTATAATTATATTATTGCCAAACAACAGAAAAAACATATTAGATATCAGTGTGCCTTAACCATATTCAGTAACTAATAAAATTTGTATAGATCTTTTAATTTTAGTGTTTTCATTTTGCATTTTTTTCCTTAGAGAAGGTATTCTAAGACAAAACTAGAACATTTTACTGAATTTTTGCTTTCAAAATGTAGTTACAGACTTTAGTGGAAAAATAATGCTTTTCTTAACATCTAATCTGAGGTATGTAAATGTCAGTGGTTTCATTTATTTATTACTTTTAGAGAAAAAGTCTTGCTCTGTTCCCCAGGCTTGAGTACGGTGGTGTTATCATAGTTCACTGCAGCCTCAGACTTCCAGGCTTAAGATCCTCCCACCTTAGTTTCCAAAGTAGCTGGGACTATAGGCGCCCACCGCCATGCCTGGCTAATTTATTAATTTTATTATTTTTTTTATTTTGAGGAAGAGTCTCACTCTGTCTTCCTGGGTAGAGGGGCATGGCATCATCACAGCTCAAGTGATGGGCTCAAGTGATCCTCTTGCCTTAGCCTCCCAAGTGGCTGGAATTACAGGCTCCTCTCATGGTATCTGATTGGGTTTTTTTTTTTTTTTTTT